AGCAAAGCACAGGGACCGCGGTTCAATCCCCCAGCACCACATGCTAGCCAGCCCCGCCCCCTGGTGGGCTGAGCTGGCCACACACACACACACAAATAAATAAATAAATAAAATAATAAATTAAAAAAAATATAACAAATCTAAAGCTACATAAATCAAAGAGCAAAATAAAGGCTGGGATGCAGGAAACAGAGATGGATCTTCCTCAACTAGAAAGAGGGTCAAGAGACAGAGGGAAGGAAACAGGAGGAAAACGGAAGGCAGATGTGTGTGCAGACGTGGACTGACTCCAGTAATAAGGTCACTGTGTACTGCAAGCACAAGCTAATAAAACGAGGTTAAAAAGAGTCTAGAAGAAAAAAGTTAAGAGGAGAAGCGAGGCTGATGCAGCGGCGTCTCCTGAGGTCACTTCCAGCAGCCCTGGGGATGCAGCCCTTGCCAGTCCCCCAAAGGAGAGCACGGTGGGTGCTTAACTTCTCCAGGCCTTCGCGGAGGTATGTGTGTGTGCGGGGCCCAGATCCCACCACTGGGTCGCACCACTCAGGCCTCTGCTCTTCCTTGCCTCATTCCTGCTCAGCCTCTGCCTGAATCACTGCCAGCCTTCTTGCCCAACCGTGCCCTTCCTGCCTCTTAACCACAGGAGATGTTATCATAAGAAATGTTTGAAAAGTTAATTCTGTTTTTTTTTTATATTTAAATAATTTTATTGAGAAAGAAGTAGCAATGAGATAGTTTCAAAACAAGTTAGTAGTACAGTTAACAATAATTAATACGTTGCGTATTGTTGTCTTTGTAGTAGTTTTTCCTAGCACAAGATGCAGGCATGCTATCTTGTCTAACCACTATTGGTTAATGAAGTTAATTCTAGAGTCCCAAGGATCCCAAGCTCCTGGAAGTCCAGCGGTACGATCAGGTTCAAACACTTTGGTGAGGGCTCAAGGCGTTTCACATTGGCCCAGACCCCGCCTCTCCGGGCTCCTGCCCACATGCCGCCCTCCTCCGGGGCAGCTTCCTGCAGGTGCTCCCTTTCCTCTCCTGCACCTGGCCCTCCTCCTCTGCCAGATGGCACTCAAAGTTAGCATGCAGGAGTGCAGCCCCAGGGGTTCAGAGCTCTCCCGAGAACCCTGGTCACCTCGTGCCCAGGCCCTGAGCTCGCAGCCCCCGGCTCCTCTGATTCCAGAGATTGTGGAGACTTCCTCCAAAAGGAGGACCCTGAAAAGGACAAGAGGAAGCTGAAACCTCCTCTGTGGCTGACTCCTGACCCTGACTTCTTTCTGCTTCTCGGCTCCACGGACCTCTGGGACAGCCTTTGCAGTGGGGCCCTCTGGAAACAGCACCCCTGGTCCCTAAGAGAAGTCATGCCTCCTGTGGTCTGGCTAAGCTTGGTCACATCCACAGTGCAGGGCGGCCAGACCGGTGCCTTCAGAGAGGGACCCCAGCCTTCGGACATAAAGTGAGTGCTTGGAGGTCCAGCCTGCAATGCAGTGAATTTTTTTTTTTTAGCCAGGAATCAAACTCAGGACCTCCTGCTTGCCAGGCAGGTGCTGTGCGCTGAGTTACAGCCCCAGCCCTGAAAGACTCTTTATGAAGGAGATAATTCTCCTCTGTGGAGTTTCTAAGGTGCAGAAAAATTAGGGGCCATTTTAGGAAAGGAGGACTATAAGAGGCAGTTTACAAAAATAAATAACAAAAGATTTACCTTTAGGTCATCATTCATTGGCAGTTTGAAAATGTCTGATGCTGGGGCATGAGTGAACTATCTGCAGAAGTAAAGTGAGATCCTGTCAGCGCAGGGCAGGATCCTAAGACAGGACAGGATGTCTAAGAGTGTGAGACTGTCTTCTGCTACAGTTTGGGTGTTGAATGTCCCAAAGACCCAGGAGTTGAAGGATTGGCTCCCAGCCTTGGAGAGGCTGGGAGCTGTGGAGGCTTCAAGAGGTGGGGCCTGCTGGGAGGCGGCAGGTCACAGGGCCCACCCCTCCTCTCTTTCTGGTTCCCAGAAGCCTCCAGGTGAGTTGCTTCACCACATATGCTGCCGCGATGTTCTGCCCCTCTACAGAGTCATTGGGTCCTTCCAACCATGGACCGAACCTTCAAAACTATGAGTCTAAATAAACCTTTCCTCTCACGGATGCCTGAGGTACTTGTTGTAGTAGCAGAAAACTTTCTAACATATTTTTTCTTTCTTTTGCCCTATTGAAGCAAGACGGAAAGAAAAAAAGCTTTCCAAGCTTTGAACAATCCCCCTTGAACCACCCTCTTCCCTCTGGCTGTAACTTCCTTTTCTGTTACAAGATAAGATTTGCAACTATGTGCCTGTGAACAAGGCATTGTGTCCTGGGATCTACCTTCTTTCCAGGAATACAAACAAGGGTGACAGCTGATTTCATGTAAACACTGTAAGCATAGCGCTGTGACATCCTGAAATTTGTCTTCTTAGATGGCTGAGTCACAAAACTACCGGGCCTTGTCCTGTTCCACATAAACTTGTTTCCTTGTTTCCCAGCCATAAGTTCCATCTTGAAGTCTCCTCCCCTTTGTCCAAATGTGTAAAATTAGAGCCTTTTCTTTGCTCTGACGCCTTTGGGGCACGAGTCTGCTGGGCCTGTGTCTACCTAAAACCCAAAACATGTTCCTGCTTTTCCCTGCTGGTCTCTCTGCTCTCTTGGATTCTGTGCAGTATAGTTCCTCAACATCATTGCCAAGTGCATAGTCTGTCACTGGCTGGCTCATTTGAGAAATGCTTACTGAACTCACATCATGGGCCACAGACACTGAAGCGGCGTCCATGTGACACTGATTTTAGCTCTGTCCCAACTCACTACTCCTCACCAGTTCTATACTGGAATAATCAACAAATACTTACTAGAAATGCCCATCTAGTGCCAGGCAGTGTCTTAGGCCGGGGACGACACAGAGGCAGCCACCCCCACCTTGCACGAGTGGAGCAGCTGGACGGTGCTGCAGGAAAGGAAGGGCAAGTGCAAGAAGCAGCCAGGGTGTATCACAGCCAAGCCAGGAAAGGCGGGCGGGCAGGCTCCAAAAGTCCTGCCTCTGAAGGAGCGGACGGATTCACATTCTCTTGTAGATTGGGAATTCACTGAACAGCTTGCAATCAGGGTGTCCAAAATGAATAACAGACCAGGGCTTTTATGTCTTGTTTTTGTTTCAGACAGGGTTTCACTATGTAGTCCAGCTGGTCACTAGCATTGATCCTCCTGCCTCAGCCTCTTGAGTGCTGGATGTATAGGCGAGCACTGCCACGCTTGGCTCAGGCCAGGGCCTCGTCCCCCTGCCTAGCCCATAGGCATGTTCTTGCTACTTACCTGTTGCAGAGGCAGAGCCCAGGCGGCTCCCTGAGACCAGATGCAAATGACCAACCTGACAGCTGTCAGTAATCCCCTGAGACTCCTCACCTTGGACCTGTGATCACAAAGCTGTGCTGTCAGGGGCCGGGGAGATGGCTCAGTAGAATAAGTGCTTGCCTGGCAAGTGCAAGGGCCTGAGTTCAATCCCCAGTTCTGCCAAAAACAAAACAAACAAAACCCAAAAGCTGGGTTGCTGTTAAAGTGGCTTGCACCTTGACTGGGGCTGGGGTTCACAGACACAATCTCACTGCAGCCGCTGTCTCAGGCCAGCGCCAGACCTGCTGTCACCAACTCTGCCACTTTTCCCCTTCCTGTGTCCAGCAAGGACAGGAACAGCAGGACTGAGTGATCCGAAGGTGTGGCTGTTCTGCTCCTTCCCCGAGGAAATCTGGCTTCCCAGACACAGCAGACCTGGCCCCTTAGGGCTGGCCCTGGCTTCTCTTTCTGCATCTAGTTCTCCCAAACCAGCCACAGGCTCTTAGTGAAAAGCATACTGACACTTCCTACCCTCACTCTGAAGTGTCACTGTTTTTTTCCCTTCCTTCCCCCTCCTTTTCTTTTCTTTTGTTTTTTTTGGGACAGGATCTTGCTATGTGGTTCAGGCTGACCTTGAACTCACTGTGCAGTCCTCCTGCTTTAGCCTTCACAGTGCTGGGACTTCCAGCGTGCACCACTAGGCCTGGCTTGACTGTTTCCCTTCATAACTGTGCAGGACTGTCGTCCCTCTGCATCCGCCTGTGGCACAGGTGGCTGGCTGGCTGAGGACAGGATATTCATCTGTAAGGCCAGCCCCACCCTCCTGTCCTGGCTGAGAAACCTCTCTGTCTCGGAGCCAGCTGCAGGATTTCCCGAGGAGCTTGAACCTAAGGGGACCTGGATGTGTCAAGCACCAGGACACAGTTTAGGGGGCTGCCCTAAACCCTGAAAGAAATCAGCCCCAGGCCCGGCCCCAGCCCCAAGCCAAATGCCCCAAGAAACTTCCTCCTCTCCTTTTCGTTCCTCTCCCCTTCTCCCCTCCCTCCCCCTCCACCCATGTTTTCCCTCTTTTTCTTTGACAGAGTCTCCCTATATTGTCCAGACCAGCTCAAACAATGTAGCACAGGACGCTCACACGCTACAGCAGTGCCCCTGCTCAGCCTCTGGGGGCTGGGGTCACAGGCACGCGCCTCCATTCTTGGCCCCTTAAACCATCATAAACTCTGTCCCGACTGCACTGTCGGGGACACCCCTGGCGGACCAGCCCTCTCTCTGCATGCCCCTACCAAGGGTTTCTCAGAGCTCTGCAAATTCCCCCAATAAATCCTTCAGGCCAGTTCTCCTGGCGTTCAGGGTTTCTATCTTGGAGTCCCCAGTGGCCCCACCTAGGGACAGTTCGGGGCCCTCGCTTGGGGCAGTGCCCGCCACAGGTTCTGACAGAATGAGCACTGCTTTTTATTTCTGTTTCCTAATTTTTCATCCCAGAGCCAATGAAGAAATGCATGATTCTATTGCATTGCTTGCAGCAAAGTGAATGCGCACGAGCTGGCTGCTGGTGACGTCCTCCTTGATGTGTTTCTCTCTCTCCTTCTTCTTTTCCATCTTTCCTGTGGTACTAGGCACTGCTCCCAGGACCTTGTCACTGAGCTACATTGTCAGCCCTTTACTATTACTCTTTTTAAAAATTTGAGGCAGAGTGTCGCTGAGGTGCCTCGGCAGGGCGGGAGCTTGTGATGTGCCTGCCTCAGCCTCCCAGAGTGCCGGGACTACAGGCGTGTGTGTGCCACTGAAGGCCACCTGCATGCTGGCCTTGAAGCGCCTTGCATCATGTGCACATCCTTACAATAATTTCCCTGTCCTTTTCTCCCTAAGCTGTTCTCAAATTGATTTTTGTTATTTGCAACTGAAAATATCCTCACTGGAAGTGACCACGTGTGCCTACAGAGTTGGATCGTCATATCGATCGGTACATTTTCACTGTCCATAAATTTTAGGTCATGGAAAACGCATTGTGGGTTGGACATAGCTGAGATGTGATGCGGAGAGTTTGCCTTCCTCGGGAATTGCTCGGAGACAAGGAACTGTACCTCAGACTGAGTTGGACAAAACCCAGAGCGCACAGGCGCACAGGATGGAAATGTCTAGGGGAAGAATTGTGGGTATCTCCCACTGCCAAATGACGGTAGGTTCAGCCACTTACAACGCCCATTTGTTTTTGGGTTTTTTTTTCAAGTCATGACCATTTAATTCAGATCACATAACTTGAGCTACACACCCAGCATATAACCTTCTTATATTATGTAACTGCAAATACAGTTTCTTTTCAGGGCATCAGTGCAGCTAAGTTGGAATTGTCTAAATAAACTTCTTTTTAAAAAAAAATAAACTTCCAATGCCACTTTTAAAGTATTATAAATAGACTATTATAAATAGTATTATAAATATTGAAAATAAATGTAAATATTACTTCTTTTTTAGGACTAATGATAAATGATGAGGTAGAATAGCTTCAGCAGATTGCCCAGCCCTAGACCCCTAAATTAAGTTTGCACTGGCTTTCGATACTGGCGGCTTCTTAGGAGTGAGAGGTCTGTGTGGCTGGGCACCCACTCTTTAATGAAAAGACTTGCATTTACTTCTTCAAATGGTTCAATCTCACTAACACATAAGCCCTTAGCAGACCCCTAATAAAAGACCAATTTGTAGAACTGGGTCATTTCCATGTTTTTACAATTTAGTGAATAGTTTTCTTGATGAGTGTAGTCCTGAGAGCTGTTCAGCAGTCTTCAAGTTATGGTTTTCCTGACTGCTCTGTAGCCTTCAGTAAGTGTAAGAAGTCACTGTATGAAACATCCGTCAGACTAGTAAGACTGCAGCCATCATTGTCAGGATTGCTGGTCACCTGGGCACATTTAGCCCAGATAAGCTTGCCTCCTTGCGTCACAAGGCCCAACTCGCTCACGTTCTCCTCAATCACTGTTCCTTTGGTAAGAACACCCAAAGTTGTATACAGTGGCGAGGAAGGATTCTTTTTCACGCTAAGTATTGGCAGGCAAAGATGGCTTTCAGTTCAGGATGTGTTACACGGGTCTTCTTAAAACGTAAGCCCATTGGCCTAATGAATAGTCCATATTTAGGTGGTTTTCTTGTAAAGCCATCTCCAACAGAGCAGACATTAGTAACCATCCTCTTCCATGCCTTTTTGTTTTTTTCTTTCCAGTTTGAGTAACTTTTAATACTCCCATCTCTCCTTGGGCACGAACTTTGGGCAGAGGAACTTCCCATTTGCCATTTGCCTTTTCTTTTCATTTTTGTTTAATCATGTTGGAAGGTACTTTTGCATGAGCCTGTCCCTCTCTGTCCAGCAGGGAGGCAGGTTCTGCTCCTCGTGGGGTCTTCTCATCATTCTTTTGTTTGGTTTTTCTTTTTATATGCATCGTGTTGGGTTTTTTTTTTTTTTTTTTTTTTTGTGGAACCGGGGATTGAACTCAGGCCCTTGTGCTTGCCAGGCAAGCGTTTATTCTACTGAGCCATCTCCCTGGCCCTTCATACATCTTGATAGTGTTCTTCATTTATATTTTCTCTGTGTTCACTGTTCGTGGTAGAGCCTTCAGGCCAATCTTTTTTTTTTTTTTTTTTTTTTTGCCTTCTTTGAATGCTCATGAGCCTCTTGACTTTCCTCCTTTCTCTTTTTCCCATGGTAATCCAAGCGGTACCCAGAGCGTTTATGGTGTAATTCAATATATTCATTCTGTGGCACGATGACAGCTGTAGAGCCACCGTGGGCAGCCTCAGGTGTGCAAAGAAAAGTCCTGACTTTGGGTGTCCCAGACACATGAGCTGCCTCTGTGCAGCCGGCAACAGGAAAGGAAAGCCCATTTGTCACCCATCAGTGCAGGACTGAAACTGCCACCAGCCCAGCTAGACCTCAGCAAGTGATTGAAGAATAACCTTCTCTCGACCTTTCCCAGCACTCAGAAGGCTGAGGCAGGAAGACCGCTGAGATTTGAACGCAGGCTATGCTAAGATAGTGACTTCAAGTCCAGCCTGAACTCCGTAGCGAGATTCTGTCTCAAAAAACAACCAAAGAAAAAGCATTCATTTCTGGCGGAATCCAGCTCCTCAGAATTGTAGGGCCGCTTGAGAGCATAGTGGTGTACCCCGTAGTCCTAGCACTTCAGAGGCTGAGGAAGGAGAACTGCCCTGAGTTTGAGGCCAGCCTGCATTACAAAGTGAGTTCAAGGCCAGCTTGGCCTACGTAGTGACACCTTGTCTCAAAAGACAAGGGAGAAGGCACACTTATGTCTGGTAATCTGATTTGAAGACAACAATGTAGGACTGAAAGCTGTTTCTTTTCTGGCTGGGCTGTGCTCTAAGCTCCCAGGTGTCCCCCAGAGGCCTATCCCCCCACCCCCACTTCCCCTTCGCCCCACAATGGCTCACAACACCTATGCCTGTTTCCTTGCAGACCCACGGGGTGACTCCTTGCTTTCCCTTCGTGGCGCGTGGGATTATGTCACCTCCAGTAATCTGCCAATCTGCGCTGACCGCTGCAGGCCACGATCCCTTCCCAGCCGGCCCTGGGTGAGGCCAGCGTTGTGTCCCTGGGGGCACCTACACAGTGAGTTTTTCCAGAGAGAAAAAGAGTTTATTTACAAAGCAGCCAAGTACAGAGCTGGGTGAGCAGCGCTTGGGGACGTTTATGGGACAGAGAAGCAAGGTCTCGGTGGGCAGTGTGGGCAGCAGCGGCTGCAGGACCCGGCCGGCTACGGACCTGACGGAACACGGAGTGCACGATGCTGTGACGGGCAGTGGGGCTCGGAGCCTTCTGCCGTCGCGGCCACCCCTGGACGCCGCATGTCAAGGCAGAGAGGCAGTGGTTTCCACGCAAACGACCTTGTGGTAGCTGAGAAGCAGAGACCGCGGCCACCACCAGCTTTAGACGCGCGCGGCGGCGGGTGCCAGCGTGGTGCAGCTCAGCGGCCCGGCCCCATTTGGTGCTTCCTTTTGAAAGTTGATTATGGCTATAATTCTAATTTTTATTAGCACATAATAATTACACAC